TCAATGAGACTATCTGCCGCCGTGCTTTGACTCCGACCCAATTAATGCCCCAGGTAAACAGGTTCCCACTACGGTCACAGCCTCAGTCCTCCTGAGACTGTTGGTGAAATGAAGCCGCACGTTTTATCCGTGCATCATGCTCGGAAAGTCAACTTGACAGAACGTGGAGCACTTGATAAACAGTCTATCTAGGGCACATCCAGTACAGCAGCTCTCTCAGGGGGGGCAGCTAAAACCCAAGACATTACGGGGAAACCCAAAGCAAATTATCCTGACATGGATGAAACAATAGCAAATTGGACAAATGATATAATTTGAGTCGTATAGGCCCCAGCAGAGTCTGGTTGTTTCTTGCACTCGAAGGGATTTCGAAACAAGAACAGTGTTCTATGGTAAAGGTCATGATACAAAGGCAGCTTTCTGTTTGGCTTTCACAGCGATGACAGTTTCTCAGCGAAACAACGCCACAAACAAACATATTCAAGTATTTTGCTTCTCTTGAGTATCACAAATGCCTGTCACAAGGAGATATTTTCTTAGATATTTTTACTCTCAGAGTTAGTCATTTTGCTACAATCTCTTTAAAACTGACACCAACTAGTAATTTTATTAGTTATATCTTATTAGAACCAAATGCTCCAATCTCTTATTCCACCTCTTTCCAAAGGTGCTCTATTAGATTAAATTCCAGTGATTGTGGAGGTCAGTGAAGTGTGGTGGTGAACCATTTGAATATGATTTGATCTTTGTCATCTGGTGCAGCATTACACTAGAAATAGCCATCAGAAAATGGGTACCATGTGAACAGAAAGGTGTGAACAGGGTTAGCAACAGCGATTTTCAGATAGGCTGTGGCATTTACATGATATTAGGTTTAAGTTTCACAGCCCATAGCATGTCAAGAAAATATCTACCTATTATACACCACCTGCCTGAAGCATTAGGAAATGTAAGGATGGATAAATGCTTTTATATTGGTTACACCAAATTGATAAATGGCGAGATTTATCAAACTTTTCCAATCATTCATTGTCCAATGTAAGGCCCAAAACACACCAGAACTGTTTTGGGATCTGATCCAACGGAAAATCAGGTCAGATGACGAAGTCAACTGGGCCGAGCAGACTGCTCGAGACTCCCTATGACTATGTCTCAGACTGTCCAAACAATATATACCAGCAATTTGACAACAATGTTATGAGTGAGACAGGAAATACAAACTAAAATCTTTTACTCACAAAAAAATGGTGAATTTACCTATGGCATGTCCTGAGTAGCACAGAGAATAAATGAAAGAGTGAAACAGCGATCTTACTCAATTAGCTTTCGGTTTACTGCCGGACTGGCTTGTGTGGACACCAGTGGGTCGTCTGGTGTATACTCCCACTTTCGTGAGTCTGATGGTCTGCAGAAGTGGTGTCGTGTCAGAGCCTGTGTCTTATGAGAAAATCTAGTCAGAGGATGAAAAGTGGTGAATAAAACTATGCAAATCATAGCCTTAGTTTATTCCAGATTGTAGGAATGGCTCCCCCTGTGGTCCTACGCTACTGTACTCAATCTATTTCAAGGCTTGATGAATTAAAAGCATTAAGACACTGCATTCTAGTTCCTCTGATTGTAAAGAGTGATCTAATGAGCTACTGTTGCCTTTCTATCATCTTCAACCTGTCGGCTCATTCTTATCTGACCTTTTCTGACCTTATCTGATCAACTGTGACTTTTTGAATATTTTGTCATCTCAAGCCATTCAAACACAACCATGCCACTTTCAAAGTCATTGAAATTTCTGTTCTTCCAAATTCTGATGCTCAGTTTGAATTTCGGCAGGTCACATGTTTCTGTCATTGGCTGATTTGCCATTTGTGTCAACAAACAGTTGAACAGGAATGTCTAATAAATGGCTTGTGAATGTATGCTACTGATGTCACCAACCAACAATATCACTACCTTCTGATTCCAAACACGTTATGTCCCCACTTGTGTTGCTAATTAGACTTGATTAATCACGAGGGAACAGACAGATGTAAATGTGACTTACCACTTGAAAATCAATTACAATTTTTTTTTTTTTTGAGTCAGAAGAACAAATGTGTTAAATAAGTTCAAGGGGACAAAGGTCTCCATGGAATTAAAAATTCCTCTCATGGCGTACAGGCGTCTGCTAAGAGGGTTGCAGGTAAGGGAAAATCTTGTTCTAGACGAATATTATGCACTTTTCAGACGGAGGGAGCCACAGCAAGCCATTAATCATCCACTACTGACACTGAAAACCTTCTACCCCTCATAAGGGCAAAATAACCTCTGACAATGATAGGAACTAAGTGGCCAGAGATGATGGGATATTGTGTGGTAGTTTATGTTGCTCTCATCAGCAGTCCAGCCAGCCTGAGACGATGGAGCAGCCATTTGACACAGCTCCCAGATCATATAGAGCAGCAGGAAGGGACATTATGTGGTTAGCCACAGTAAAATAGCCACTGATTCAAGGAGCATGCCGTTCCTCAAGACAAAGAAGCAAATCTTCACATAGACAAAGAAAACTGTACTACATATACCCATATTGTCAGCTAAAGACAATAAGGGTATAGGTAAATGTTCACCAAACTTGCCTTTCTTTTTAGTTTTGGTCTGTTCCAACAAACAGAAATACCAGAAGGTCAAGTATTCCAATAGTTGACCTTCTGGTAAAGTATTGGAATACTTTACCAGTATGGTACTAAAACTGGAATACTGCTAAAGTAATACTAGATCCATTCTGATCCATTCTGAGGAGTTCTCATGACACCAATGTTGGAACAATACACCCAGCTCAAGGTACAACAAGATAACTGATACTGGGTTCATAACAATGAGACAAGACATTTACCCAAAAAATCTAGGAAAATCTAAGAATCGCAGTTTTTGTGTCTTCACAAATCCCAATCAGCATTTTAAAGAATCTGCAATCAGTTTTAAAATATTCCAGTCCAGAAAACTATCCACAGAAAATAGCACGCAGAATTAGATCTGCCTCAGTTATGCCCATATTATCATAAATGTTGCCCTCTAATGAGGCTAAATTAGCAGATTACTGTAATATTTGTCAGAAAGTAATGTCATTTGTTACGTTTAAATGGCCATTAGCAGTAAAACAATGAAAGATCTCTAGTATTTGCAGCTTCATGAAAACTGAGTAATGTCCTTCTGCAACTAATTGCAGTTACAGCCACCAACTTCAGCTACATGTAAGCAGAGAAAATTTGTCACCAGAGAGCTGAATATTTCAAACAAAAAAAAAAAAGTTCCCTTGAGAAAGGACCTACAGCAATAATGCACATTTGCATCGCAGATTTCATGAAGGCATGAAGCTGATTGATTAATAGAGACAGAGCATGCCAAGCCATATCAAGAGCCCTGTGCAGGTTAAATGGTGCTAAGATTGTTTTATATCGTCTGTGATTAGAGGATGAGGAAGGAGGGTTTGATCTCCCAGACTTGCTGACCTTCTAATCACAGGGGGGCTTTAGATCCTGCACCAGAGACTTCAATAGAGCACACTGTTTGAGTTGGAAACAGACAGCGGGAAGAAAGAAGAAAACACAAAACTGGACTCAAGTAATGCTTTGATAGATTAAATGTTTTTATGAAGATTCAATTTGAATACTTTATGCCTAGGATGAAGTATTTTTGATGGAATGTGAAACACGGCAATTTTAGTTTATTTAAACTAAAACTTTAAATCATAAAGATAAATAAGACGACGCTGTTTGAGGTTGAAAAGTACAGATTTTTTTTGTGTGTGTGTGTGTGATGTGATCTCACAGAAGGCTCCCTACTCCTCTTAGTTCTAAAAAAGTCCCAAAGACTCAATAATGAATTTTATGTGATTGCACTAGACTTAAATTTAGGTTTGTGACCAATTTTCTTATTTTATTTATTTTTTAATGAGTAAATAAAAACGGAAGCTTGTTCTGCAAGGCAAAGATGGCCAGCACAAAAACATCCAACTAAAATTAGTCTGGGATGATCCGTTTTGGGAAATTTGGGGCAGTTCAAGCAAAAATAAAGTCCACAAATTGAATATACTTTCAATGATGCACTAAAATAGTTTTATCAATCTAACAAATACTGTTTCAAACTGACTTTTCAGTTTAAAACATTTTGACATATTTGCATATTTGATCAGAAAAAGGGAAAGCTATAAGGTGCTTCTGTGGTTTGCAAAGGAAAAAAGAAAAAAAAAAAACATCATAAGTACAACATAATTATCGACATCATCAAAACTAATTATGGATGCATAAATTAAATGCATGTCAGCACCCCCATTGTCCAGTGCATATTTGTCCTCTGCACAGATAACACTGCATTAACATTACAATAGAAGGGCAATAATGGAGCTGCCCAGCTGGGGCTGAGGGAACATGACAATGAGCCTCAGTCAGCCCTCAGTCAGTCATGGGCCTCAAAAACTAAACAAAGAAAATCTTTTAGTTTTTCTCTTCCTCCTAAACATAAATTTTAGGTTTCTGAAATTTGGTTGAGCCTTCTCTTGCATGAATTACTCACTACCATGTAATTTTTAGACTACCGAGTGCACCAGAATATAAGCCGCACCCACCAACTTTGAAAAGAAAACTAAAGAATTTAGTTCTTTAGTTTTATTGTTATTTATAAAAATAAAAATGTGTCCATATTGTGCTGAGGTTTTTTTTTTTTTATTTAAGAAAATGTTTTAATATAACTATTCAACTTTAAATTTTTTCTTTCCCTTTGATAAAGTGGTTCAGTTTGCGTTTACCACTTGACCTGTATTCTCATTTCTGATTCACTTTATTTTTCCATAGTTGGTCACAATGCTAACATTGCTGTTGCAACTTTGCTTCACTCACTATCCCAGGTTTGTTTGTGCTAGCGTTGTGTTGCAGTGTACATCTATGTATATGTTTTAGTTAAACATTTCTGGTTTCTTTTATTTCAAGGCACATTTATGGTAATTTATTGATCTTTCTTTTTTCACTCACCACTGTTTGTCCATGTCAGATGCTACAGCCTGAGTAGGTGTATGGGAGGAGCTGGCCCAGCATTTCCTGTTCAAATGACTGTAACACTGATTGCATCACTGGGTTCTACCAAACTGAGGGGTTATTTTTTATTGTATTGTATTGTTTTTTGGGGGGTTTTTTTTGCCCTCTGTTACATGTTTTATTTTGCAGGCCATTTAGTTATGTAGATAAGTTTGTAAGTTAGATGAATGACCTTATTCCTGTTTCTCTGTTTAGATTTTGTTGTTTGTCTTGACTTGTTCTGTTGTGGTATGGTCTAATGAAGTGCAGGTGTGTTGCCAATTTTGTATAAGACCAGTAAGATTTCAAATGCTCAAAAATTAATTAAACATAAAATAAATAAAGCAGTTATTAAATTGTTGAAGGAAACAGGATTATATATAGGAATTTAAACTAAAGGGAGATACTCTGGTCCACACTCCAGCATAGTAGATGGTGATAGTAATTCTTAAAATTGGATGTCACCCTCCAGTAAAAATCAGAAAGACGAACAAATTCTCAAGATCAATGTCAGATCCTAAATAAATGCTAAACAATAAAATATCAGACCATCTTAATCTCATTCAAATCCAGACTTTGAGACTTAGACCTGATTGTGTGCCTTAGATCATTGTCCACAATATTTGAACTTGAAGACAGGGGTTCTCAAACTCAGCCTCCTCAAAAGCATTTCTCTGTTTAAAAAAGAGAAAAACGGTACCAGTTCAGTATGCATTTGAATTTTGGGCTTCTAATTGTTTTTCTCAGTAATGAAGAAGTAACTAAGAAGAAACTGCATTGTCAACAATTATAGATGGGAAAAGGCATCTCATACAGACACCTCTCTGCTAAAGTTTTCACACAGACCAACGGGGACCGCAGTTGTCTTGGACATTTGGGACTTAAGATGAACAAACATAGCTTCTGTTTGAAATTGAATGAGCACCAAATTCAATATTTTGATAAGAAAAATGAAAAACTAGCCATTTTCTATCAGACATTACAATAATTTTTATGCCTCAAGGGTTTTTTTCTTTTATTACTTTTGTTTTATTATCTGAGGATGACTCATTAAGACCCAATCTGACATTTTCAAACCAACTAGATGATTTGAATGTAAATATTACAATATATGTCAGTGGATTCAAGTCTGGCGAATAATTATTTGTCTGAAAAAAAAAAAAAAAAAACTTCAAGCTGAACAACCACTCCACTTTTTTAAGCTTTTCCATTCTAATACCACTCAGATAACAAGCCAAATGCTGAGTGGAACCAAAAGCTATTTAAATTTTCAATATTTGAGCTCGCCGTCGAGAGTCTGTTATTTGTCAGGCAGTCAAAGCATCTCTGAAATGATTGATTGTCAAACATTCTTATCCTCAATCAACAAGAAGTGACGAACGCCTCCAAATGCTCGATCCACATTATTCTCCCAGTCTTCTGCGCTGGGTTCAGGCCTTTTTTTTTTTTCTCCTGAGCTTCAGCCGTCACACCAGGCCTTCTCCTCTTCAGTCAAGACACTCTGAGAATCACTGGCAGCTCATATATCAAGGGAGATCCTCACAGCGGTACTCCTCTTCCTTTTTCAATGTGCAGGGTAAGTATTTTAATTAGTTGGCTAATTGTCTAAGTAATTGGAAGACAACTTAGCTCAAAGAGTAATCAATCTCTACAGGGCTGTGTTCTATCACATCAAAAGATCTGTAATTAACATTGCAAACCATGGGATGGTCTTTGACTGAGCTCGGTAGCGTGGGGGCGTATCATCACAGATAACACAGAGGTTGAGGAGACGGATCTGCAAGGCCTCCAGTGTGCTTGAAGACGAGATCCACTCAGAGAAAAGCGGACTCAAGAAAGCAGAGGCAGACCTGTGTTATCTTCAAACAACGCACATCAAGTATACAAAAACATGTTTATATTGTCAATAAAAAAATCAACATGATGGTATCGTTCCAAAACTCGAACGTCCAATGCATATCCTGATTTTAAATTTCCCCACAGAACCTCCGCTAGCTGGATTTTGAGAACAAAATTGGCAATTCATTAAATGTTCTCATGCATCTAGTATCAATTTCACTTTGCATCAAAGCTCGTGCTGGGCATTAAAAGAAAATTATCCATTTGGGATGAAGAGGACTAATCATGTCTGAGATTCATTCATTTGACGCCCCTTAATTTCCCCACTGTTGAAAACAAGACGTATAATGAACAATTATACATAAAGTCAATTTCAGCATTGTGGTGGAGACTTAATTAAAATGTTCCAGCTTTTAGTAATATAAAAGAGAACTGCTTACAGTGGGGAAGTTTATTTGTCAATTTTAATGTTAGAAGATGCATATTTTTTTTTTATGGAAGGTAATGAGAATGACCCAAATGGCAACTTTCTCTATATTTCCTTTTCAAACACATAAAAACATAAACCCCCAAACCTATCTTCTAATTCAAGGAAAGCAGTTGACATAATTGGGTAAATTGTAAAAAATAAATAAATAAATAGAGCAGCTAAATAGCTTTTAGTCTTCATAAAGTCTGGGAGGAGGTATCAGATTATCAATTAACGAATGTCGGCAAAATGCGAAAAATGACTGTCATGCTTGTGGCAGCAACCTAAAATGGATAATTACGATGAAACATCCAGAGGAGAGCAGCAATTGGAAGAGATGAAATTCCCCTAAAGAATCCCTCCCACCCCTCTCTGCAGCCCGGAAGGCAAGGCGAAACTCACACGGTGGCACTGACAGATTGACAAATAAGGTTAATAAGTACTTTCCAACCCTTCCTGAAGGCTAATCAAATATTAATCCTTAAGGTGTGGTCAGCAAAATAATATACACAACAAACAATTGGTGGAGGGGAATTGATCTAATTGATTCTCTCTCAAAACTGTTCAGATAAAGAAGAAGAAGAGGAAAAACAGGCGGGGGCGGCGGCGGCGCCAAGTTGGAACTGTAGGAATTCATTTCAGGCTGAGAGTGGACAAATATTTGGATATAAACGCTTAAAGCAATTTCAATTTTTAATCCATCTCCACATTCTGGTGGCTCTGTGGGGGCAGTTTGCTCACCGCGTTCTCACTGTAACGTGGGAGTGAGTTTTTGCTCATGACCCCCACCCACAGCCG